CCGGCTAATTTTTTCTATGTATTTTTAGTTGTCCAATTAATTTCTTTTTATTTTTAGTAGAGACGGAGTCTCACTCTTGCTCAGGCTGATTTCGAACTCCTGAGCTCAAACAATCCGCCCGCCTCGGCCTCCCAGAGAGCTAGGATTACAGGCGTGAGCCACTGCACCCGGCCTCATCTTGTATTTTTCACATGGATCCTCATGCTTAATTTCAAGAGGACCGTGGGCTTTCCTAAATCCTAGGAGGAGTGAGAAGTGCATGCTCTACCACAAAATACCTTCTTCTCACACAAACCGAGGCACGCACTTACCTTTGTCGTGAATGGCTCAAGTATCTTTTGACTGTGGATGTTACAGAATCCAACATATGTTTAAATTTTTCTCTTATGTATTTATTCATGCATTCACTTATCACCTTATTTAGAGGGTTAAGTCCTAAGAACATAGTAGTGAGCGAGACAGACACAGTCTTTGCTGCCTTTTATTCCTTCATTAATATTTTGAACATGAACGTTTTTAAGCATGAAGATTTTTGAACTGTGTGCAAGTCTCTATGATGGGTGCTGAGGACACAAAGACAAAGAAAATGGCAGATTGTCCGTGCCCTGGCAGAGCGCGCCGTCCAGTAGGGGAGATAGACGCTAACTGTGTAGTCACACAAATAATGGCAAAGCTGCACAGTGTTACAGAAGGATGTGAGGGGTGACCCACGTGCCACACCTAGGAATCCAGGGCTGGGGCAGGATCAGTCCTAACACCTTCCATTTGTTGACTGCCTGCTGTCTGGCAGATGTATCCCCAGCCTCTTAAAAAGAGTATTTCATTTAATAAATGTTATCTCTGTGTTATAAAGGGAAAAGCTACCCATCAGAGCAGTTCGGAAACTTGCCCCAAGGTGACTGCTTAGTCAGTATGTGTTTGAGGTCACCGTCTAATTCTGCCTGTGTCCCCCTCGGTCCTCCATGCGGAGCTCGGCTCAGATGTCACCACAGGAGCAAGGTCTTCCCGACCATCACTGACATCAGCCGTTCTCAAAACCAATGCAAATACGACAGAAGAGTTCCTCGAGAATTCCCACTTGCGAGAACTTTGCTTGAGACCGCAGACTGGGAGTACCATCAGAGGCAAACCTTTCCAACCACGGCACGTGGCAGCCACGTGGGATGTCGTATCTGGGTTTTTTGCTGTTGTCATGTTCTTATATGCAAATTCAGTCGTTAAGCAATTCCTTGTACCACTCAGAGTGAACCTGCAGTTAAGGTCTGCTGCAGCTAGAGGACAGTCACGGCAGGACTGATTGTCCAAACTTGGGCGCCATGTGTTTTTTCCCGGTTATCTTGCCTTTTAGTCAACTATTACGTCTCTAAGAAAGTAACACCTCAGTTGTGTGCACTCCTTAAGAATTGACCAAGTGCTCCTTCCCACTCCCTGTGAGCTCCGCAGGGTGGGCGTCCTGCCTGTTTTGCTCACCGCCATGCACCACCAGTGCCTGGCACGTGGCAGATCCACGGCGAACGCGGGGAGAAGGAGGGAATGCGTGCGTACGGCATTTTCATAACAGCTTTGTGAGCAAAACAGGTATCGTCATCTCTGTGTTTCGCGGAGGAGGCGATTACCTGAAAGGTGAACTTGGCTGTGTGAGGGAAGCCAGGATTTAGGTCCCCGGGGTTCTTTCCGTCCACCTCAAAGAACGTAAACGAATTATCAACCGCTAACGTTAATAATAGTAAAATTAGAATAAGATTTAGTGGGAAGAGAACATATACCACCAAAACTAACTGCAGTGTGGTTCCTTCGTCGTAGTCATGGACTGGAAAATCGTTGCTGTAATCAAAAACCGAATTCTGATGCTGTCCGCAGGCGCCACAGCCGAAGCCCTGTGCTTCCTTTCTGCCACTGCAGGGCCTCGGCTGTTTTGGCAACACACGTACAATCCGCTCTTCCGGGACAGGTCCGGGCTCCTCCTCCAGCTGGTCTCCCCCAGTGCTCTTTCGGCCCTGCCTGCCCTGTTCACCCAGCCCTCCCATTGCAGGAGGGGACCCGCTGCGGTGCCCGCTGGTGCAGCCTCAGCCAGCCGCGGATGTGGCCTCCTGCCTTGGCCCGCCGCCTGCCCACTGGGGTGCAGGTGTTGGAAAGAGCGGACATCCTCCCACACTTGGGATTTTGAGCAACATTTTAAAACAGAAAACTCGACAGGCAGTTCACGCTAAGAAGCGTATCAGAGCGTGGTGTTTGTAAGGGCGTGTCCAAAGCCTGGCTGCGCCGCCGGGGAGGCCCGGGAGGGAGGCCCCGGAGGACGGGCTTCGCCGCTGCTCTGCGGGCGAGTGGAGAAGGGAATTGAAATTCTGAACCTGGCGGACCGCAGAGATTCTGCCCGTTTCCTAGGCGCGTGCCTTCTCGTCTCTAGGCCCCTCGCCCTGACTCCGTCCACCCCTGCCCAGACGCTGCTCTTCGCCCATTAAGCAATGCACAGAACAAAGAGCGACCGAACGTTTCGCAAGGTATCGTAAATTGAAGTGCAAAGGTTTCGTTTACAATATGTAATCCTTTTATGTAGCCGCCCTGCACAGTTTGCAGGTCAGACTTGGGGTCGCACACACAGGGCACATGCGTGCTCTGCCTGCAGAACTCCTGTGGCAGGTAAGAACCCGGGTTCTTGGTAAGAGAATGAGTGAGAACTTCTATCCGTTCCCCTGCTTCTGTGTTTAGCTCAGTGGGTAGATTCTGGGGAGAGGCAATCGATCTACTCTCGTATTTTAAGTTGTAACTCCAGGACGCGCTGCCGCGGGGTTGCGATGCTGTGTCCCGGGTCCCCTGGCCGCAGGCGGTTCTCAGAGGTGTCCAGTTTCACACCCTCTTTGAGCCGCCCGGCCTGACCTGTGGTTTGACCAAGAGCCCCACCTTCCTCCACCCCTAGAACCACCCTTTTTTCCCTTCTCCTTTTCCAGTGTTACCATAGTTTTTGATATGAAGCAGTTATTTTTTGTTTTGGTGGGAAAAGAAGGCGGTTATTTCCTTTTTTTTCTATTCATAGAAATAAAATCTAGAAATACAAAATTTTCTTTCTTGTCCAAAGTTAAGCCCGTTAGGTCCTTACAATATATTATCCATGCAGAAGCTGCGGTCCACCTAAAACTGGAAGCTTGCTTTTTTCCCAGTTTTCTGTCAACAAAAATGCAGTTCTTTTGGCTGAAAGTGTCCTGTGCTTTTATTCTTAGTATTCACAGCTTGGTCTTCAGAATCACGCTGAGTGATTCAGATCTGTCTCCGTTAGGGGGTGTTTTGTTGGTAATGCTCAGGCCGGGCTCTTGCCAGGAAATGCCTTTCCTCCCAGGGTCGGAGTGGGAGGCGGGCGCACGGCACACTGCCCTGAGCATGTGACACTGCCCTGCTTCGTTCTAGGCTAATTTTCTGCTTTTTGGTCAGCACTCCGTCCCCCCTCTTCTCCTTTACACCGAGGAATTCTAAAGGTCAGAAACCGCCCTCACATTTCCAGTCACCGCTGTTAGAACATTGTCAGAAGCCAAACTCCTGACACCTGTTCTTACAGTAAAATCGACGGGACTGCGGTTCTCACCGAGGGCAGAGGCTGCTGAGTGTTTTATTCGTAGATCCTTAGAGCGTCGTCGGCCTCCTGTTGTGTTTTTGTTCTCAGTGCTTAGTGTATTTAGCGTCTATTTTATGTCACGTGGACATCCGCACGGGCTGATCTTGCAGGGGATTGCTGTCCCGGGCTCTGGGCCGAGCACAGCGGCGGCGTGCCCTGCCGCCTGTGCGCACGTGGGGACAGCTGCCCAGAGGGCCCGCAGCAGCGGAGCCCTGGCTGCAGCGGGGAGCAGGCGGGGACGTCTCTGTGGCGTGGCTTTGCTCCCGCAGGAAGAGGGCTGCTCTGGTCTCCAGCACGAGTTAGTTCCTTTCACTTTCGCTTGTGATAGGGTCCTTCTGTTCCTGTCTCCTACTGCCAGGTAAGACTTCTTACCTCGCAGTTGTCCTTTCTCAGGAAGAGCCAGTTCATTTCTGGATTATATTAAATTACTCTTCACTCAGCTTTCTCAGCTATTCCAGCAGCAAAATAGGATTAATAACACCTGAACCTTCACATCCCAAATGAATGTATTTAAGAAATGGGCCCCTCAAAAGAAAAACAATATACTTATTTATACACCAGTAAGAGAATCAGAAACTAGTCAAATATTTAGAAGCCGCAAATGCCAGTTCAAAGAGTTAATTGTAGTGCTTGGTCTGTCTAACTTTCCTAAATAATCAGTAGCGAGGATGAGATTCTGGGAGAAGGTTATCCTTAAATTATTACCGTTGACATCCGTGATTTTACAATGCAGAATTTTCCCTCTTCTATAGAAAAGGTATTCTAAGTGTGTGCAGTTAATTTTAGAAGGCATTCTGAAGTATTCCACTCCAAGTGAAAGTCATTGTTTTGGAATTACAATAAAGCAGCATTTTGATTTCATGTTTTTTTCCTTGCAAAATAATGATGACGAAAGCTTTTAATGAGCTTTGTGAATACCGGGGCCTATCGCGTGCTTCATCTCCTCTCATCTTCACTACCACCCTGCAACATGGGTACCATCGTTATACTCATTTGATAGGTGAGAAAACGGAGGCGTGCAGTCTTCTTGCCAAAAGTCACAACTAGTAGGTAGATGTTACTGTATATTTTATATGTGTATATATGAAGAAATTGAAAGACATTCTAAACCGTTCATTGTCAGGCCAACTGACCACCAGTTATAGACAGCATAATCAGTGATGGAAACGAAAAACAGTGAAAGAAAACTCCTAACTAATTCAACGTTTTTTTTTGACCTGAATGAAAATAGTCCTTTCACCATTTGGTTCTCAAAAGGAAATCGATAGTGGTGGTGTTACTTTCTGTTTCTCCTCAGGAAACTCAGGCAGCGCACTGGGTATAGTGGCGCCAGCAGGAGAGGGTAGCTCGTGTTTCCACTAAATGCCTGTTCCCTCCCCCATCTTGATTTCAGGTGTCAGAAACTATTTAAAAGAAGCGTTGGTGAATATAATTGCCGTGCACGCAGAGGTAAGCTGTCATTAGATGTTCCTAAGAGATACAGATAACTGGAAAAAAAGACACAAATTTGATGGTTTTTATGGTGGGCTTTTCTTCCCTTCTGAATATGTCTTAGGTATAAATAAAACACAGCTCGGCTTGCTCTCGCGCACACGCACGCTAGCTCTCTCTTTCCCTCCCTCTCTCTCATGTGTGTTTAGCTGTGAGTCTCTTTTCTGAAACTGTACATGTTTCTCTGATAATTAAAACTAAATTCATTAATATTTGAGAGGTAAAGAGAAAGTAGATTGGAAGGATGTTTTTCCTTTAAAGAATGTTAAATCCCGTATCTTGGAAAAGGCATGAACCTCTTTTTAGCCAGTGCACAAAGGAGCACTGGTGTCCCGTCCGTGTGGCAGTGTGGCGTCACGCAGCGGTCGGGATTCCAGAAAGGCAGAGCCGGCGAGAAGGAGAGGCTCGGGGCAGCCTGCAGCGGGAAGCAGGTGCACGGTTTCCTGTCAGTGGTTTACTTGGGTTCAGGTAGATGTTGCTGCTTCTGGTTCATGTGAAAACCTGCCCCCACTTGGAGCGTTTATCCTGTTACGCTCGAAATCAGCATCATTAGTTGGCACCCTGGTTAGGGGACTCCTGTGAGGAGCACTGAAGGAAGAGTCCAGAGCTGCCGCCGTAGTCCGCACGGTGACTGCCTGTTTCCATTCATTAATTTCACAGTCCGTGACTCACTGCCTTGCCACTGCTCTCAGAGCAGCCGTGGCCCACAGACTGATGGGTGACCAGATGGACCGGGCCAGAGCAAGGGCCTTGCCGTTAGTTAATCCCCACCGTGCTCGGAGGGCCTCTTGAGCGCTGTGCGTCCAACAGAGGTGTGTTTAAGATTGTCCCGCCTCCTGCTTCCCAAAGCGCCTGAGGCCATCCAGGTAAACTGAAAAACATGGACAATTAAGACTAAAACAACAGAGTGACCAAAGAAACGAAGATAATGCTACCTGGTTCCTGAATTTGGCTCTAAGTTTCAAGCACCTGGAGCAGAAGGAAAAAATACAGTATGTTACAGTTTTCAGTTCTAAGTAAAAGGGAAGCATATACATTCCTCTATAAAAATAAAGTTTTTATGTCATTTAACTCAGATAGGAGTTTATCACATAGCTCTTTTTATAATCAATAATATTTTAAACTGTGATTTTTATCAAAACTATTAAAATGCTACTCTGTCAGGTTCCTATACAGTTAGAGCCTAAAACAAAACCTTCAGTCGGTGGAAGCATTTCTGTGGCAGGCGGGCCGAGGGCTGTGAGGTCCGTGGGAATTGTTACCGTGATGCTGCTTCCTAACGAGGCAGCTTTTATTAATGTCCATTACAATCGCCATGAGATCATTTATAAATATTAGGCTCTTCAAGTCCCCTAAACGAAAAGTTAGTTTAGCCCAATGTCGGAAAGCAGAATTCCATTCACGATGTTTACTACTTACTATTTGTCACACGATGTCAAATTGCCAAAAACTTTCTCGAACACTCAAATTATGTTTGTGTCGACCCAAATGTTTAATACTAGCAGCTCAGTCTGAAAAATGGAAAAGCTTAAAAAGAAAATATGATTGACTTTAATTTATAAATGAAGAGAGTAAAATGTTTCACTAGATCTCCAACTGTAATCTCAGTTTGAAAGTGTCAGACTTTAAAGTTTGAAATTAATTTTGTAAGTCAAATGCAATATATATTTAGTACAGCACACAGTGAAACTGGGGAGCGTGTTATCCAGTGCAGAATTGTGTACCCATAAGAAATAACATTTGCCATGTTATGGTAAAATAATGACCCAGTATGTTTTTATTTGTGTAAATTCCTCTTTAAAAATCATGTTTCTTTCTTGTGAAAGAGGCAAGAGGAAGAAGAATCTTTAAAACAGTTTTTATCCTGTTAACATCAACAATGCCTTTCAAAATTGTATTTGCCAATATTGAATTTTTAGGAGAATTATTTTTTGTTGTTAATCAGTTACTACAATTTAAGTATGTATTAAATTGTATTTAATTTCTTCTTTCACTCGTAACTTTGATCTTTTAAAAATATGACTTAGAAAACCTGTGAATTTTTTTGTTTTGAATGTTACTTTGTTTTTAACAAATTCAAGTCAGTAAAAAGCCCCACACAGCACCTTGTCTTCTTATTCTAAACCTTCCGCCAGGTGTTCACTGTCTCCAAAGCGCTGGTGCCCCGCGCACTGTCCAAGGTGGTAGAAGCAGTTTCCGAGGAGCTCAGCCGACTGATGCAGTGTGTTTCCACCTTCAGCAGAAACGGAGCATTGCAGGTACCAAAACCATCCAACCTCTTGTTGAACTATTACTTTTATGTAAAACATATAAATGTATTTTAGTCATCAATCTTAAGATAGGCAGACAGGTTTTTTTTAATGGATCTACTGATTCGAGACGCACACGTTCTTTCGTGCATAAGCTATACTCACGACTCGTTGTCTACAAGTTCCAGAGCTGGTTTCTTTAAAGTAGAGCAAGACCTTAAAAATTCCTGTGAAATTATCTGAATGCAGATTCCTTCAAAACTTCTGTGATTTCTCTTTTTGTTGTGCAGTCCTCTTCACTACATTGAATTCCCCAGGAAACTTTTAGCCTCTGACTTTCAGTAAGTCTTTCCAAAGCATTCGGTGCCATTTGCATAGAAACAACAAAAGCTACCTCCTTAGTTTAAGTTGCGTAATTACAACCCAGGTAACTCCTGTAACCTGCTGATTATCTGCACACGTGGAAGCCAGCTGGCAGGCGCCAAAGCCTGCGCCGTGCGGAAGAGCGACCTCCCACCTGGGAAGTCTCCGTGCACTGGGAGCGTCGTGTGCTTTAAAAAGCCGTGGCAGTTCTGCTTCCGGTGATGGCTGAGGAAGCTCCTATGAGTCTGTCCTTCCACAGATAACTGTAAACTTGAATAATAGCTAAAAATAAAATGTTCTAAATTGATTTTAAAAACCCTGAAGACACCACCACCTATTAGTGGGCAGATGCTGGAGGAAATGGCGCGTGGGTAGATCTCCTGCCCCTTGTGGGTTTTAGCCTGACGGCAGGCCCAGGAGTACCTAAAACCCTAATAACAAAACCTGTTTTCTTTCTGGCTTGAAGATTAGGTTTTGGGGCAGTCACTACAGCAGAGTGAGGGAGGCGTCCCAGAGAACAGAGTGCAAGCGCCACGTATCCTAGGAATACACTGGTTGGCCCCTTAGAAGCAAATGCGTGGTCGCTGCGCTGCAGCCAGCCCAGCTGTGGCTGCAAGAACTGAAGACAGAATTGAGCTGCTGCCCAAGAGCCGGGAGTTTTCGGTTTGAGTTGAAATGAGTGCATTCCTTGCTGAAACAAACAAAACAAAAATCGACAGTCCTTAGAGGCACATCACAGAATCCGGAGTCTCCCAACACCATCACATCCCTAATGTCCAGGTTACAGATTTAATTTAATTGAAATGTGCAAACAAAACAGTGAAACGGATGCACTCTTCGCAGAAAGGACAGCCAACTGAGACCAGCCTTAGGACGGCCCAGCTGAAATTAGCAGGCAAGGATTTCAACACAGATGTGTTCCATAACGTAAAGGAGACCGTGCTCCTGACGAATCGATAGCGGGGAAATCTCGGCACAGAAATATTAGTAGAAACCCCGAAAAAGGAACTAAATGGAAATTCTGGAATGGAAGAATACAGCATATGAATTTTTAAAAATGTACTAGATGGTAACAATAGCAGAATAGAGAAGACAGAGGAAAAGTCAGTTAACTTGTAGAGCGATAGAAATTATCCATCGTGAAGAACAGAGAGAAGAATAGTTAGTTGGTGAATAAATAAACAGTTCCAAGGACTCCTGGGACTGTGTCGGAAGGTCTAGCACGCGTGTTAATTAGATTCCAAAAGAGGAAGAATGGCCACGCAGCACCTGAAAGGATGATCGGCATCATTAGTGAGCAGTGAAATGAAAATCAGTGCTGCAGTAGGATACACATCTATCAGGATAAAGAAAGTTAAAGACCAACAATACCAAATGTTGGCAAGAATCTGCAGGAACTGGAGCTCCCACACATTCTGGGGAATGTAAAATAATACAGTTACTTTGGGAAAAGCTTTTGCAGTTTCTTTTAAAACTAAACATACATGCACATACCCTGTAACCCAGCCATTCCAGTCCTAGTTATTTAACCAAGAAAACTGAAAACATACGTTCACACACACACAAAAACAAAATTTGTAAGAATGCTCATAGCGGTTTTATTCGTAATAGCCAAAAACCGGAAACAGCCCAGGTGTCCATCAATAGGATAAACAAACCGTAATATATTCACACAACTGTTTCAGCGTTAAAGAGAACCAAGTACTGGCTCGGCACGGCGACCTCGGGAGCATTGTGCCGGAGCCGAGGAACCTTACACAGAACACACAGACCGTGTGGGTTCATTTCTATAAGTTCCAGAAGAGATAACACAACTAGTAGGGGGAAAACTCAGAACAGTGGTTTCCTCTGGGTGGTTGGGATTCACTGGGAAGGGCACGAGAGAGCTTCACAGGGGCTGCGGTGCCCCTTGGTACGGGTTTCCGTCACTCAGGTGTGTGCCTCAGCCAAACTGTGGTCAGACGGCACCCTTTGAATTTTGTCCATCGGGTAGTGTGTAAAAGAACTGACAGCAGTAGTCCGCTCTAGCTAATAATGTGCACGCTGAAACGTATCAGAGCAGCACAGTGGACGGACGAAGCGGCAGTGCAAACAGACGTTAATGGCAGATTCGGTGGGTGTATAGGTGTTCGCTGTAAAATTCTTTTGAAGTCTCTCTACACTTGAAAATTTTCATAATAAAATATGTATTGGGGAAAAAGAAATGAAAGAGCACTTGTTAACTTGGTTAGGGTAAAATCTGTTACAAAAACTTGTTATAACCTAAACATCTGTACCCCCATAATATACTGAAATTAAAAAAAAAAAAAAACTTGTTATATTTCCATTTGCTACAGATTTTCTCTAAAAATTTGATTTATCCAACCTTTGGTATTATAGTTTAAGTTGAAAGATCACGATTCCATCATAGGAGGTCAGTAGTGTAAGTTGTGCACTACGGAAGATGATTTAAAGGAAGTTAGAGTAGCTACAGTGGGCCTCAGCAGTCTTGGAATGACAACAAAAATCTGCCCTCTCCGAAAATTACCTCTGTCACCCATTTATCTGATGGCTAAATCCCTCTCAAGCTAGCGGGGAAAGGTTGGAAAGAGATACCAGAATCAGCTGGAGAGCTTTTTCAATACACACGTGTCCAAGAGACTATTGGCCTTCATAACTGACCCAGCCTCCGATACTCTGATACCTCCAAGGGACTGGGCAGGCATTTGTTTCAAAAAGTTCAGTTGAGTCTAAGCCCCCACCGTCACCCTCTCCCTTTGCGAGTGACAGTAAGAGTGTCCTTCTTTGGAGAGGTAACCGAGGACAGCAGGTTAATCTCTGATAGTAAAAAATGGCAATCCCCAGTACCTTCCTGAGAGCCAGTTTACAGAGGAAGAGAGTGACAGTTTGGTGATTTTAGCTGGTCTTTTAGCATGGTATTTTCTGGATTATAATTTTATATGTACTATATAAATAACTACAGCTTTTATAATTGGCCTAAGTCATAGGTTAATTAAAATACCCTCTAACTTCAATTGAATAAAATTTCTACCTGAAGATTGGTTTTACAGTGATTTAATTTTTCTCCTAAAATATTCAGCTAAAAGTTCTGCCTCATTTTTCTCTCTTGGATGTTTTCCTTGCTGGTCTGTTTGTATCTATCCTAGAATATAAACAATAGGGACAGAAATTGTCACACTTTCTAGCATTTGTAACTTTGTAGCTACAAACTATTCTTCAGCCTTTTAAACCAGTGAAAAAAATGGAACCAAACAATTACTTTCCAACTAGAAAAGGTGAGCATCTGTACTGGATCTGATGTAAATCAGCTTTTACCTAGATTGCTCACAGAATTTCTAACGAGCAGTAACAGCAGCTGTGTCCTTTGTCATTGCTTTGTATTCGGTCCACTCCTTGAGAACAGGGCAGCCCCTTTAAACACCTCTGGGCACCTCCCCGAAGAGTCAAGCACTGGCCATGGCCGCCTCCTCGCTGAGGCTCTGCTCAGCTCCAGGGAAACTGCTGTGTGTGGCTGGTCACACTTTTTCAAGCTTGCTAAAAGTGAAAGCTTGAGGCTACCTTTGTTTTCTTAAAAATTCTATGCAGATTTATCTTATGTACCACACAGTTTGCCTGTAATATAAAAAGGGTATACAGTTCAGTAATTTGCAGGATGTTCACAGAGCTGTCCGGTCATCGACATTTCATCACCCCAGAAAGAGATCTCTGACCTGTCAGTAGTCACTCTGACCCCCACCCCTGCTGTCCCTGCTACAGACAACCACTAATCCGCTTTCTATCTCCCTGATTTGTGTACTCTGAAAATTTCATATAAATGGAATCATACCAATGTGGCTTTTGGTGACTGGCTTCTTTCACTGAACATAATGTTTCAAGATTCATCCATGTTGTAGCATGTACGGGTACATCATTCCTTTTTATGGATGAATAATATACCATTGTATAAAACACCCCATTTTATTTATTCATTCATCAGGTAACGGAAACTTGAGTTTTTTCCACTTTTTGGCTAATATAAATAGTTGTGAACATTGCCATGGACGTATGTTTTCATGGCTCTTGGGTATATGCCAAGGCGTGGAATCGGTAGGTCATATGGTCTCTCTGTGTTTAATCTTCTCAGGAACTACCAGGCTGTTTTCCAACGTGGCTGCCTCATTTTACATTCCCACCAGCAGTTTATGAGGGTTCCATTTTCTCCACATCCTCACCAGTACTTGTTGTCTGTCTTACTCATAGCCATCCTATATAGTTTTATCCCTTACATGTAGATCTGCGATCCATTTCGAGTGTTAAGGAATGAATCCAACTTCCTTCTTCCGCGTGCAAATGTCCAGCTGTCGAGCGCCATTTGTTGAAGAGACTATTCTTTCCCCATTGAGTGGTCCTGGCACCATTGTTGAAAGTCCATTGATTGTAAATGTAAGGGTTTATTTCTGGACTCCCAATTCTGTTCCAGTAATGTATATATCTGTCCATAGGCCAGTACCGCACTGTATTGATTATTACAGCTTTGTAGTAGTAAGTTTGAAATCAGAAAGTGTGAGTCCTCTGAATGTGTCATTGTTTTTCAAGACTGTTTTGGCTATTCTGCTTCCCTTGCATTTCCATGTGAATGGAAATGTGTCAATTATCAACCTGTCAATTTCCATTAAAGAAAAGGTGGCTGTGATTTTAATAGGGATTGCATTCGATCTGTAGAGTGTTCGGCTTTTGAGATTAAGGCAGTGTGCCTGGAAGGGCATAGCGGTGAAGAAGCAAGCCACGCCACGTCCTTAACTCTGGGGAACGGACCTTTCTGGGGCAGTGTTTCAGAGTTTCGTTCCTCTCACAACCAGACGAAACGAAAAATTACTGGTTAGGCGATAAACACAGATTGCTGGGAAGTCATCGCACGGTTTGTATTTTCCATAGTGAGATCTCCGGCTCCCTGCGCTCACGCAGTCATCCTTGCCTGATTTAACTTTCAGTGAAAGGAAATTTTTTGGTGGCCAATTTCTTTGGACTATTTACAACTCATAGTCACCGTGGTGGTATAATGCCAGCCCTGTCCTGCAATAAGCAGGCTGGAGACTGTTCCCCTCAGTACTCGTTTGTGTTTGGTAATTGACATAGGTTCCTTTGTCACTTTGTCCTTTTCTTCAGGCGAGACTCGAAATCTGTGCCTTGAGGGATACCGTGGCTCTTTACCTGACTCCTGAAAGCAAGTAAGATACGTGTTCTTTAGTTCTGAGTGCTTTATTGAAAATAAAGGTCGTTTTGCTTGTATATTATATCTTTTGTGAAGATAACTTATCAGAGTAATGTTCATGAATTTGTGATGGAATAAAGTTTATATTTGCTCAAATTTTAGCTAAAAACCATAAACCTACAATAAACCAGCAACTCTCAAGGATGCTTCTTTGTAGCACAATATGAAGGAAAAGGGGTTTAATATCATTTTGTTTTTCATTCACTACTGATAAATCTTAGCCTTACATATAATGCAACAAAGCATTACATCTTTAAAAAAGGAGAGAGTGAGAATTCAGTCTTAATCTATTCATAGCAGACTCTAAAGGACAGTTCAGTGTTGTAAATATCAGTATAAGAGGAAGCCTTGTGGTTTCTCTGCAAAATTTTGTAGTGGAAATTTGATGATAATTTTTAGCTGTTTTGAATGAAAGTCAGGATTTCCTACCATTGAAAGTAGGTGAAGTGAATCAGAACTACTATTTGCCTATTCAAAATTATTTACTACATTGGCAGTATTACCTAGGCAATGCTGGTTTATGTCTTTAATGTGCCTGAGAAGCCAAGTGTGCAAATAAAATGTTTGAGGACAGGCGCCGTGTAATATGCTTAATTCTTTTATTCCCAGCATCTGATAGCATGGCTCACGCCATCGTTCTTACTGTCTTCATTGCAACTGGAAAGACTTCAAATTTTTTCTCAACAAATGAGTTGGCTTCTCAGTCCTGTTCATCACGGCCAGAGCCATGTCTGGGTGGCTCCGATGCTCACTGCGCAACCGCGTCTTGCCCCAACCGTCACTGTCCCGCACAAAGCGCTGTGTAGAGGACAGAGGCACCCAGTCCACACCTGATGTGTGTGCGCTTTGCGTGCCTGTGTGTTCCTTCCCAGTAACTTAAACTTTCAGAGCCTAAGTTCCTCATTTATTGCAGGAAGGTGAAAATACCTCCTTGGCAAAGTTTTGAGGCGATGAAGTGAGAAAATGTGTCAAGTCACCTTCTCAACTGTTGGTGCCCCATAAGAAACAAGTAGTAAAATGTTTACCGTCATTATCGTCATAGGGTCGAAATAAAGGACGGTAGCGCTGCATTTCTCCCGTTTAATGGGGAGGAGGTTCACGTGGCTTCCCTCCGCCTCAGGAAAGGGAGAGCAGCAGGATGCAGGGAAGGGACCCAGGAGCGCCAGCAAGCCGCCCGTCCCTGCGTCCCGCCCACCTCTCCCAGGAACAACCGGAGATTCCCAAAGCCAAGTTTGTGACTCTGTTGGGACTTCTCAGTCTCTCTACGTGTCGTTGTGACACCTGCCCCTAGCTTGAGGGACAGTGTTCAGAAATTCATTTCCTGGCAGACTGATGAGGGTGTTTGCACAGCACAACATGAAAGACCTTCAAGTCAAGAATAGGTGCCCTTCCTGCTTCACCTCAGTCAGCCGTTCGCGACAGGGACGAGAGGCGGCAGCTGTTCCTCAGTGGCGGCGCAGTACGAGCTGTCACCAGTCTCCCTGCGAGGCCTTCCGTGTAGCTCAGTGACTCTGTTACTTTCCACTTGTAAAAGTTAAACACCCCAAGTCAGTTTTGAATTCTTTCCTTTTACCTTTTTGTTTAAACAACTGATGTTGAATTTTTAAAGTGTATCTACATCTCTCCATTCCCTTATAGATTTTAAATAGCTAAATTGCACAAAGACTGTCTTCAGTTATCGTAAGACACGGGCTGCAAACCAGGCCTGTCCGTGCCGACGCTGTGACGTCCCAGAGCCTGTGACCGTCACACAATCACCCCTGTTCTGCTCAGTTTCTTCCTTTCTTGCCGGTTGTTTTATTTGCAGTTCTGTTTTGCTTTGAAGACTTTTTAAATAAATATTTCTGTCTGAAGCTCTCATCTGTCATGAGTAGCATCCTTTTTCGTTGTCGCTAAGCCAGTTTCTCCTTTAGCTTTTCGGGTTGCACGTCGTTTCCTAGTTGAGTTTTTCTGGCCCTGCTCCCACAAGGCCTCCGCCTGGTAACCACGCCCTCACTTTTGCTTTTGCTTTTTCTACTGCTTTTCACTTTTACTTTTTCTCGTATTTCCACTTGCTTCACTGGCTGATACTGGTGTCTTTATGGTTAAGATATGCTTAAGAGTTTTTAGCGATCCTCTTAATCCTCTCAGAGCCACGAACGTTTCCGCTGATGTGCTGCCCTTTACGTTCCAGGTCCAGTTTTAAGCAGGCGCTGGAAGCCCTGCCTCAGCTTTCAAGTGGAGCAGATAAAAAGTAAGTTCTGCACGCCACCCTCGGGAGCCAGTCAGCTGTGCAGAACAAGGTTCTGTCACCTAAAGGACCTTTAAAAAAAGTAACACTGGTTTGGATTTAAGGAAGAGCCCTACTCAGTAGCCCTCAGTGGGGTGTCGTGTCACGGGTACCTTGCTTATCTTCCAAATGACAGAACAAAATAAAGTAAAACGTTTCTTCTATGTTTAGGATAATTTAGAAATTAGTTCTTTTCTGGTTTTAAGTGACTGGTCCAGACTTATTCAGTAAACTATATTATTAGCTTATATATTTAAGAAGATCATATAAAAGAGAGGACAGCCTAGTAAAATGCAGGACTCAGGACTTCTTTCTCTTTGAGTAGCTTAGTGATAAACATTCTGTGCTTTATGAAATATAAAGTATTAAGAAAGCAGATTTCTGCGTACGGCGTGACAAAGCTGTATACATTCCATTACACCATTCGCGGTCTCGGCCTGACGTAGCGGGGAACTAACCCGAGGGAGAGTCCGGGCCAGGGCGTTGCGCGCTGCCCAGCCTGCCCTCAGGAGGCGGGAGCAGCGCAGAAGCCGCGCCCGCCACTCCCGGCTGAGCCCACTGCCCTCTGCGCGTGAACGGCCAGCCGCAGACGAGCACCCGGGGCACTGGCGCGGGCTAGGAAACAGCCGTGCCATCCCTGGGACGCGGCACGGTGACCACCGTGGAAACCCAGAGGCCGGAGGCGCGTGGGGCTGCCAGCGGCAGGACACCGCCAGGGGCAGCAGCGTCCGGGCCGGCAGGCAGCCCCGCCTCAGGTGTGAGCCTCGCGCAGCCCTCGCGTGTGTGCCCCGTGGGCAGGTGGCGGCTGTCCAGACAGTGCCCGCGCAGACAGCCCTTTCTTCCCCTGGCCTGCTGCTTTCTTCCCCCAACTTTCCCCTCTGTCTGAATCGATGCCAAACTCTGTTCCTTTCTCTAAAGTAAACATGATACGCGATTAAAACAACCACTGTTACTTTTAATATGTGGAACAAGGTTCTTGGGGTTGAGAACAACAGACACCCTGAAATGGCCCTGGGCTAGGACTGTTTTAGATTTGCTCGGGGACATTGTTCCGACATGAGCCTGGTGGAACCACGGCACAGTCTCCTGACCTCAGTCCTGTCCGGCCCGTTCTTGCTCTGTCTGAGCCAAGCGAACGCTCAGATCCCTTCCACCTTTAAAGCTGGGGAACGTATCAGACCAGTTGTAAGTGGAGATACCAAGAAGCAGAATGATTTGCCCAGAGGAATTAGAACTAACCCTGCTTACCCTGGCGAGTAACTCACCACTTTCTCTCACCAGTCTCCAATGTTTGTTAAAGACAAAATATAAAGTTAGGGGAACGGAAAGCAAGCAGTGCTGCTGGGGGTGGGGCAGAGGGCGAGGCCGTCTGCAGGGGGTGGCAGGAGAGTGTGCGGGGCTGGAGCGGCCCTGCCCTGCGTCCCACTGCAGAAGTTGTCACGCTGCTTCACGGGTGTGACAGCACTTACAGAACTGCATAACGAAAAGAGTGAATTTTAGTGTTTGTAAATTTTTTAGAGTGAATTTTTAAAAAAGAATAGGCCCAAATATCATTCTGGTTTAGGGAGTAATAATTTAATCTGGGGGAGGGGACAGGAAGGAGATTTTCATGTACAAACATAAATACGTGTGTCAACATATCCCTTTTGATCAGCTTCTTTGATTGACTTATTTCTGTTATCAAGAATCCATAGATAGTAACTTTTCAGGTGCCTTCTAAAAACAGCAAGCACAGGTAGGCCAGGCCCCTGACTCCCTGGTGTGTTTTCTTGGCTGCTAGGCCACCAGGCCACCCATCTTCAGGCTGTAAAATGCCGTCTCCTCCTGCAGGTTACTGGAAGAGCTTCTGAACAAGTTCAAGAGCAGCATGCACTTGCAGCTCACCTGCTTCCAAGCAGCTTCTTCAACTGTGATGAAAACATAAATCCCTGCCAATAAGGGCAGTCCAGAGAGATGACAAGTCATAAACTGTTCACTTTTCTAAGTGCCCTAAAGGTATTGGTTATCAAAACATTGGGTTTGCAATATCTGCGTCTCCCTCTTGTTGTTTTTTCCTTTTCCTTATTTGGTAGCTTAGAAAGATGTTAGTATAAGTTTTATTTCAACCAAAATGACCTTATTTGAAATGCCCAAGCAGTATTTGTTTCACCGTTTTTATTAAATTAGATCCTGTATGACTGTTTAAAATACCTTTTAAAATACATTTTGCGTCTTAGCTAGGTGTTGCATGGTGAATGCTGCAGGAAGAGCTGCTTCTGCAGGGGGTGTTTCGAGACGGCGTGGTGTGTGCCGAAGCGTTTCTCAGTGTCCCGTTTACTGGATGTTAGTGTGGGAAGCTCCCAGGACACACGGAGAGATTGACAAGCAGAGATTCGGGAAGTTATGTTTAGCTATCTCCGGAGCTTTAACTGTCCTGAACTGTACAGCTGTCTTTAAAAACTTTATTTCATAGAAATGGCCCTAAGTCCCCTAATTCAAGTAGGCTTTTAGAAAAATCTGTGGTCTGCATTTTTAAAAAATGTCATGATTGGGGTAGATTGTTGGTGGTTCGGATGTCCATGGATTAATTTTTCATTTTGCTCTAATTTTTATTTTTCCGGGTGCTGAACACTAAGCCCTTCTCAGTGTAGCTTGCCCAGCCCCCACTCTGGGTGCGCGTCACTCCACATCAGCGCCTTGTGGCCCGAGGCCCCGCGTGTCTGCCGCGGCCCATGGGTGCTGGCACCGCACTCACACGCACGGCGGGCCCCTGAAGAGCAGGCCAGGCCCGTGGGAGTGGACGGGCCCTCCCGGCCCTGTCCACACCTTCCCCCGGCAGTCGATGTTCTCTCTGCCACTTCTCACCCTCTGAACCGTCTCGCTCAGTGGCTGAAACAATGCCGCTCTGGCACAGTCTGTGTTTTCTGAAGATTCGAGACACCCCTTGGTCACCAGGCGGTGGGCTCTGCAGATCAGCCATGTCCATTTGTCCCACATTCACGGATGACTGGGCTTACTGGCAGACTGATGAGGGTGGGCAGGTCATGGTGACCTCTCTCAAAGTCATCTTCCCCTACCTTGCTCCATCGTGCCCTTTGCATCTGAAAACTGAGCACTTCCGTATTGGTAGTCAGCTTGGCAGGGTTTGAAATTTTTCCGTGGATATTATAGAATCCCTTGGAAGTTAATGTCTTTATTAATACAAGTAATTTTGGAGCACAGTGTCTAAAGTATTAGCCATATACAGTATCCACTATTTGAAATAAGTGAACATTGTTGTGTTTGTTCATTTGGTGTATAAGGGAGAAATCATAGTAACCGGCAGTGAAAGTCTTACAAATGTGCTTGATAAAGCTATTAAATACACAGAATATGGTCTCTCCCAAGGGTGTTAACTACTGTAACTAACATGACTATAAACTAAATTACAAAACTGCAATCCTGAATGTTTGTGTTATTTTAAATATCTAATATAGTGCTGTCAGCAATAAAGAATCTGTTCTCAGTGTGACATGTCATTTAGTTGACACTTTTTCCCTGATGCTTTTACGTCAGCATTTTCATTGGCTATATAACTAACTTTTCATATGTCCAGTTTCAACAATCAAAATAAATACTTAAATTCTGGTTAACTCTGTATTTGCGGAGTCATCGTCAGACGGCATTTGTCAGATCCTGCTGCTTGTGTTTGTTGGGTGCTTGCCACGTGCTAGGCATCGCCCTCAAGTGCCTTCCGTGACTCCTGAGGGTGAGGTCACACCCCGTGTCGGTTAGCAGGCGAGGAAATCGGGGCGTAGAGAGAGCTGGGTGACTCCTGCAAGACGGCAGGGCTGGCAAGGGGCGGCCGTGTTCACACTCAGCCCACACTCTGGCTCCCAATCTCCTCAGCTGCACCACTGCCCTGCGCTTCCCTCCGGGGGAACTTGCGCTCTGACGCCCATTGTCTGGGACACGGCGGGAGGGAAGCTCATCGATGCCAGGAGCTGACAAACTTGAGCCACACGGGAGCAAGTAAGCGCTTTTAGGGCTCCGAGGGGAGGGCAGAGGTATAAAAACCCCGCACCCAAATGAGGTGGTTCGAGGACTGTGCTTCCAACGAGTCAAGGGAACTTCTTGGAAGAAAGGGGGATTTCAAGAGCTACTTGAGGTACAGAGGTTGACGTGGTGGTTGAGAGGAGATGGATGAATGTGACGCGTTGGAAGAGAGCTGAGAGGTAAGTTGGGACTTGGAGAAAGTCTAACAAAGAGTGAGCTGAGGAGAGGAACTGATCACGTCCTATGGCACGTTCCTCCTCGAGTAGCATTTTGGTCTTAGCCCATCCGTGTCTATGTGGGTCAGCATGGCTTCGTGTGACTTAGCTGAGTCGGCCTCGCTTTAAGTGCAAAGGAGCTATTAGAAATGATTTGGTTTTACTAAGACTTTCTTTATCAGTGTGCTATGAAAGTGGCATGTTCTAGAAATGATTCGGGGATTGCAGAACAAGTATCGTTGCCGTAGACCCAGCTCCCTGACTCACTCTCCTGTCTCTGTCATCTTTTATGGTTTTTTTAAAAGGAACAAATAGAAAAGATTACATTTTTATTCTGGGTTTTATTCTGGAACAAGGTGGTGTAGTATGTGTTTCTGTTTTGATCACGTGCTGTGGGATATTCTGCTGTTAGTTGCATAAGAGTGTTATAATGTATTTTCTGAAAAGTTATAAATTTCAACTAGTTTTTAAATCAAGATTAGGTTTCTAAAATAGTAAGTGTATTTTATTTAATACACACAAAATAATTACGCATAACCGTAGACTAAACTCGCATACCTTTTGTCTCTTGTACTATTATAAAGATTTTTATGTGGGTCTATGAACTGCTCTGACACTCTAGAAGATATATTAAATATTTGATAACATACCTCGATTAGAGCAGCAGCTGTAATGATTTTATTAGGTCATTAAATATGAAATGTCCGATTTTGAATCAGAAAACTTAGTGTATTATATCTGAAACAGGAAGCAGTACAATTAATCAAAGTGTGCACCAGAACATTTGACACAGTGTTGCCATCTTAACAGTAGCTTGTTTATGCCAGCAGCAAAGAAGCCTGGAAAGCAAGTGGCGATGAAATGGGGTAACGCGTTTTCCATAGCTTGTTGAAAATTGACTATTTTCCCTTGCAAGAAGTGGTCCAAAGCCTAGAAGAAGTAGTCGTCAGTTGGTGCAAGGTCTGGGGAATACAGTGGATGACAGAGAGTTTCCCAGTCCAGCTGCTGTAGTTTGAGCAGCGTTGTTTGTGCAACATGCGGTTGAGAGTTATCTTACAAGAAGACTGGCCTGTCTCTAGTGACCAGTCTCGGCTGCTTCATCACAAGCATCCTCATCATTTCGTCCAGTGGTTGTGGTAGACATCCGCTGTGATGGATTGACCTTGGACTGTGTTTCAGCACTTTATCTTTATCCAACCATTGTGCTGAATGCTTGCGATTATCAAAAAGAATCCATTTTTCGGGCCGGGCGCGGTGGCTCACCCTGTAATCCTAGCTCTCTGGGAGGCCGAGGCGGGCGGATTGTTTGAGCTCAGGAGTTCGAGACCAGCCTGAGCAAGAGCGAGACCCCGTCTCTACTAAAATTAGAAAGAAATTAATTGGACAACTAAAAATATATAGAAAAAATTAGCCAGGCATGGTGGCGCATGCCTGTAGTCCCAGCTACTCGGGAGGCTGAAGCAGGAGGATCACTTGAGCCCAGGAATTTGAGGTTGCTGTGAGCTAGGATGATGCCACAGCACTCTAGCCCGGGCAACACAGTGAGACTCTGTCTCAAAAATAAATAAATAAATAAATAAATAAATAGAATCCATTTTTCATCACATATAACAATACAGTGTAGAAAGGGTTCACCTCATGTCGTGACAACAAATGCAAGCTTTGAGACTGTTTCTCTTCTGACGCTTGTTTAAGTCATGCAGTACCCATCTATCCAGCTTCTTTACCTTGCTGATTTGTTTCAAATGGTCCAATATTGTTGAAATAGTAACATCAAACTTTGCTGCTAGTTCACGTGTAGGTTGAGATGGATTCCCTTTCTGCTATAGCTTTCAGCTCATCATTATCCACCTTGGTCTCAGGTCACCCACATGGCTCATTTTCAAGATTAAAATCACCAGAATGGAACTTCTCAAACGATCAACGTACTGTGTATTCATTAGCCACATCCTTCCCAAACACTTCGTTGATATTTCGAGGTGTCTGTGCTGCGTTGGTTCCACGATGGAACTCACGTTCGAAAATAACATGAGTTTTTGACTTATCCATGATTTCACAAAAATTGCTCTAAAAAAATTTGAAAGATAATCACAAGCCAAACCATGTGTTTGAAAGAATGAGGGTGTATCTTCACAATAAAAATAAAACAAGAAGGGTCAAAGTGAAATGTCAGAGATACCAACTGTCAAACTTAGTGCGTAAGGAAATCAGACGTTTCATGCCTGGTAACCTAATAGCTTGGTTTAACTGCAGTTGTATGTTGTTCTGTACCAGGGCTGTCACACATTTTGTGTGCTGACCTCATCTCGTTTCTGTTCACCATTGTTTTATCATATGTATCACAGGAAAGCCCTTTCTAACCTGGCCAGGTTAGAAATACGTAACAATAAACATCCTATGAACAGGACTGGGTCTTCAGTTCCTGTTCGTAGTTTGGCTGATGAAAGCAAATGGGATGTCAGAATGTCTTTTTCCTTCTAGACACATAAACTCTAAGGTGACCACCGAGCTAGTCTTGTGTCTCCATCAGTATGTTAACCGTGACTGGTATGCCGCTGGTTCTGTTGCGGTGGCCGTTGTTGAAGTTGTTATGGTTGTTATCATTATCTCTTCACTTTTTTCTTTTAGCATTCCTGTCCCACCTGCTTGCCAGCCATCTAGCTAGGCACAAATCCCTGAGAAGCAAGACCACTGCCTGAACTCTGACTGCCAAAGAAGGCGCCTAAAGGACTCATCATAGAGATAGGAGGAAAACCAGGAAAGAATGGGGTCATGGGGTCACGGAAATCAAGGAAAGAGCAAGAACTACAATAAGAACAAAGAGATTATCAGCAAAGTCAAATGGCACAGATGTCAAAGGGTGGGCACTGAGAAATGGTTGCTGAACTTGGCATTTAGAAAATCATAAATGAGCAGGTAGAGAGTAATAAGGAAGGAACCAGAGAAACTTCATACTGTGGATTTGTTCTCTTAACTCACAGCCCGGGCTCTCAAGAGAGCTACGTCTTCCTTGGAGATCAGGGCATCCTGGCCTCACGGACAAAAGTGAAACTATTCTTTAAAGATCTTTCCTCGGCTTCCTTCTCTTCTTAAATTCTCTTCCCTGGGTGTGTGCTCAATTCCTGCTGCCCCTGCTTCTGTGTCTATCGGAACGTCTAACAAATATCTATACCCAGCCCTTTCTTTTCTTCAAATGCTTGCTGAGTTTCTCTGGAACTAGGCCTCACCTGGGGAGGTGCAGCTGCCGGATGGCCTTGGAGTTGTTTTCTGCTGCGCTGTTTCCCAGCCCCTGCTCTCGACTGACCCCCAACCCCTTGTGCAGACTGCAGGTGCGTTCCAGGAGCCATCAGCCAGCCTCAGCGCGGGGACTGCAGTGCTAGGGTGTTATTGGTGAAGTGAGTGAGGGTGAGCGTTATTGATGTAATTATGTTAACAAATGTGTCAGATTATCTTTTTATACTTTTTAATTGAATACATAGCCAAATGGTTCCATAGAGCTGGTTGTGGAAATGAAGAGTCCCTCTGTAAGTCATGGTTTATGATCTTTTCCTGCTCTGTGAGTCCCCCTTTGCTTGCTCCTTAAAGCCACCCACTTTAAAATCTTCTAGCGGATCTGGTTCTCATCGTAGTTACCTGCCGTCTCTAACAGCTGTGTATTGCCACTTCTTGATTCTTCAGCTTGGGGCACTCCGGTCTTCCTACAATGGAACGTGAGGATTTGGCGCTCTTCTCTTTGATCCCCTCTCCCCTGTGCTC